CTCTATCTCTCTCCCACTCTCTCTCTCACTCCCAAGCCCCCCCCCCCCCCCGCCTCCACCATCAGATCCATCACCTACCCCCCCCCCCTGTCACTCCCCCTATGTCTGTGACCATCTGCCTCTCTCTCTGATCGCCAGTCCCATCATGACGCGGGAATGCAGGGGTCAATCTCTGAAGTCGCCTAGCCTCTATTGCCAGTAGGACTGTACGAGCCTGTTCGCCCCTGTCAACCCGGGGCCGGGGGATGAATGGTCTCAGAGTCGAAGGAGTCAAATGTCCCTGTGCATCGAGTGCTGCCCTGCGTGTGAATCGACGTCCTCCAGGATCAGATCCATCCGCCATGCGTGCTGGTCGTGATCCATCCGCCATGCGTGCAGGACGAGATCCATACTCCATGCGTGCAGGTCGAGATCCATCCAGTCTATAATCAGAGTCACATGGGTCGTCGGCCCCCGTCGACTCGCTGGTCGGGATGTCAGAACTGTCATCGTGTACAATGGTGAAAGCACCTCGTCTCTTCTCTCCACGACCAGCCCCCTCGGTGTGGTTGCGCCGCTCGTCCCCTGCGCTGCCGGAGCTGTCATGCACGCGTGACAATCTGCGTGAACGGCCTCCATCACCTGCCTGTCCATCCTCCGGTACACCACCATGCGCTGCAACAACCTCCTCGTCCTGAGTGTCACCATGCACAGACTCCCTGGGTGCGGTGCCACGACGACTCGAATGTTGTGAAACCCTCTCGTGCCCTCCCTTACTCTTTGCACGCGACATACTTGCCTTCACCACCCTGGTGAAGGCAACATCTGATGTCTTCGTGGCCAGCCGTCTGCCATGCTGGTCCTTATACTCACGCATCGCACCATGGTTACGACCGCCAACAGCGCCGATGGAACGTGTTCCAAAGGGCACATCTGGCATGCCGCATGCACTCCTCCCTGCCGCGGTTCCGCCATCGACTRGTGCTGCTCTCCCCCGGTCGTAAAAAGACGATGCTGCCAACCTTGGCACAGGTGGGCCAGAMCCCCYCGCATAAGCTCCTCCCTGTCGCTCCTCCCTACYGCCCCTCCCGRCCGCATGTGGTGCARAATCCATGYGCGTGGCAGGTCTGTCACCAGTGCRAYYGGCAGCCGACGAAGYTGGTGTAATGTCCTTCCCAGGCTCTGCGTGGCTCGCGCTGGTCGGAGGTGCCCCTGATCAACCCTCTCCACCCCTGGTCGTCGACGGTGCTCCCACACAAGGATCCCCTCCAAGTCCACCCAATGGCGCACCCTCTCGCACGCCGCTGTCAGAAGACGCTCCGTCCAAAGAGTCAGCGAGGCTACGTTGTGCGGAGCTCCGCCCGTCCCTCGTATGTGGCAGACCTCTATGGCGTGTCATGGTCTCGGCCAAGCCTAGAGCGACCTCGTGGGGTTTCCCCACCCGAAATATGGATGGGGTTGCAGAGGCCATGGCAGACAATATCGTATCTCCACCGAACTCGTCAAACCCTCTGTCTGTTGCGTCGCGGGTGGGCCCACCCTGGAGGCCAGGGGACGGCACGAGCGGCAACGATGGTGGAATAATCGTGTCAGCACCAAACATGCTGTCGGGGAGCGTGCCCATGCCCACCATATCGCCTATGCGAGGAAGACTACCGTCGGGGCACGCGAGGCCGACATCCTCGTCTCCTGCGGCCCGGGTGCTCCCACCATCGGGGCAAGGGGGCTGCACGTACGACAATGACGGCGAAACGAGGGTGCGGATGTCGGGGAGCCCGTCGAGTGCAGAACCTATGGAGAGCAGGTCAGCAGTTCGAGGAAGACTGCCGGTGGGGTGAGAGAGGCGAACATTCCCGTCTCCTAGGCCTCCCACCACTGGAGTGATCTCACCATCATCCATGGTAGACACTCCTGAGATATCTGTGCGTGGAAATCCACTCGCCACTTCGGCGCGCTGATCTACGTCCGTCATCGGCGCAGAGGGACATCCTAAGTCCATCGCCTCCATCACCTCCATGCACACGTCTGCCACGTCCATACCACCACCGAGCACTGGACTGCGTGGAAGTGGATGTGCGTCCTTCTCTGCGCCATGAACTGGACGTGCGTCCTCCTATGCCCCGTCGGCAACCGGATGTGTCTCCCGCGCTGAGCTGGCAGGTGACGGGTGTCGCTCATCGACGGGCCCATCACTCATGGAGTCCTCGGAAACGGGGACAAGTTCAGACTCAACGGCTCGTGGACGAACAGTGGGGGGGAGGGTCCCGTGGCGGTGCCGCACACGATCGGCAATCGACTGTGTCCTCTTCGGCCCATGCCGCAATCGTACGAGGTGAGGTCTCGAGCCATGCGGGGGACTGGCCTGTCCATCCCTGCTGCCTCCGCCGTCGACAACATCCACTCCCGCATTCTGCTCGGCGTCCATAGTCACATCCGCACGTGTACGCTCCAGCGCTGCTCCGATATCCTCGGCCTGTGGCCCGCCTGAGCCGCCTCCTCCGTCGACGACGTCTAATCCTCCGCCATCACGTGCTGCATCTCGTGGTGCAACAACACCTCTCCCACCAGTGCCACCACCCCGTCTCAACGATCGAGGGTCCCGACCGTCGCCCGCTCCATCATCACTATCGTCATCATCCGGACGGTCGTCGTCCGGCCTGCCGTCGTCGTCTCCGCCTCGCGGCATGGCGGTACAGAAGAAATCCTCGTCGTCGCTATCGGAGCTGTGATACAAAAAATCACCCTCGTCCCAATGCTGTCGAGGGAAACGAATAAGATCGACCATCGCCTCATCACGCAGCCCAGGTTGCGCACTACGCGGACATATCCCGCCCGCTGATCCACGTCCGCGTCCCCCACGCCCACCTCGTCCATAACCAGAACGCCCCCCACGCCCACCACGCCCGCCACGACCCCCAACACGTCCACGTCGTCTCTTGTCCGATTAGACAAGGCGGCGCTCGGTGCCCATGTGAGAAACACTACGCATCCACTCCCTCGCCACACGCATCTCCTCATGTGTGGCTGCCAATCTCGCTCCACTCCCTGCAACAAGCTGCTGGTCAGTGGGCAACTCGTCCTCCAAATGCTGCCAATAGTGAACCCACTTCCCGAATTGATCGGGTTTGTCGTGAGGAGCATCCTCGGTCAGAGATGGACGGTCGAGAAGACGGAGGTTCCAATGGCACCGCACGAGCTTCTTAGCCCGTCCAACCTCCAACCTGTTGCGAGTCTTCGAGTGGATGAAACTCCAACGGGACCAAGCTCTCTCACAGGGCGACGCTGTCGTCCAAACGCGCAGGATCCTCATGGCAAAGTATGCGGTGTGTGGAAACCTGCGCGACTTCGACTCCCAAAAACTGGACGGGTGCTCATAGCTCCTCATCGCTCTATCCATCGTGGCATTGTCGAAAGGTCTCTCCCTGGCATGAAACTTGTTGATCGCGGTGAGCACCTCGATGTGCTGCGGAGATCCCTCGGGGTAGCCAAACTGAACCAAAGCGGCAATCAACCCCTGCTGCATCACATCGTCGTCCGGCAGGGTGGCATCCCGAAACTCAGGATCAAGCATCATGGCCGCTATGTGCACTGGAGTACGGAACATGATGCGCCGCCTGTCGAAAACCTCAAGGATCTCATCCTGCTCTTTCGCGGTGAGGGAGTCGCACGCGGTAAGACAAGATGCGATTATAATCTCATACCGACGCAGGACCTTGCTGATCTGCCGTGTGTCACTGTCCAGCATCTGCAGCATCTCCATGATCGGGTCCATGATATTACACAAACGCCTCAAATCCTCCCACCATGGAGAAGACCCCACACATGCTGTGATCTTGGCGGCATCCTGACCGACCTTCCGCGTGGCCCAAACAGTGTCGCGCCACGGATCCTCGGTAACGACCTGCATGAGATGGGTCTGCAGATCCAACAATCTCCTGATCATGATGACGTTGGTGCCGAAACGAGTCTCTGCGGGCAGCAACAACTTCATCTTCGTCTTCTTCTCCAAAGCCTCGCGTGCGTGACTGTGGCGCTTGAAGAACTTCGTGACGAGTCGCGCCTGAGCAATGCGTGATGCCACCCATCCAATTGACCCAATGTCCTCCAAGATGAGGTCCATAACATGTGCCACACACGGAATCCAAAAAATATGTTTGACGCTTTCATCCTCCTCGAATATCTGCATGGCGGACACATTCACACCTGCAGAATCCGTGACAAATGCCGTGATGTAGCTGAGCTGGCTATCGAGGGTCTTCAGCCTGTGCAACCATGCCTTCGCCAATGCTGGCGCGTCCTTCCTCCCCCGCATAACATCAGTGGCAAGATACGCGGGTCTCCTCTCTGTACCGACAAGGTAGTTGCACAATGTCTGACCACGGATGTTTGTCCAACCATCCGTCATAATAGTGCAACCACTCTGACACGTGGTATCGAGCACTGGTCTCACACACCGCTACACCGCTACATCCAGCTCGTCAAACAACGTCGTTCGAACCATGTGATAAGTCGGGGGTTTAGGCACGGGAGCCCCGGGGACCCCAGGAGGGATGATGATTGTGAACATCCGTCTGAAGCTCTCAAGCTTCACGCAGTTAAATGGCATGCCACTCTCCACGATGAACCGCATGATCGTCATGTGCCATGCACGCTCTCAAGGGTCAGAATAATACGAGGTGACCGCCTGCTGCTTGTATGTGCCCCTCCCTCGTGCGACCGTACCAGAGGCACTCATGTCAAACAAACCAGCTGGACTCGTCGGTGTGGCGGCCTGTGGAAGTGGAATGTTGCGTAGCCGCTCCATAGGATCCAAATCCCCTGCGACCACACCCGAGAATGAGGGGGCAGTCTTGGCAGCAGGCGTGGGCGAAGAATCAGATAGTGGAATTGGTGGGGGCGGACCCGCACCCTCTACCGCCTGAGTCGATGGTGGATGCGTGTGAGCCGCAGTCCCCTGCACGTCCTGGTGCGGTGGTGGGTGCGACTGAGGGGCAGCTGAATGCGGAGGACGAGGAGGAGACCACCGCGACGTAGGTACCGCGCCTGTGCGCTATGGCGCCCGCAAGTCAGCCGCTGCCAAAGATGAAGCTGAACGTGGAGGTCGAGGTGGAGACCACCCAGCCGTGGCTGCCGCAGCTGTGCCTCAGTCACCCGCAAGAGGAGCTCCTGCTGCAGCCGATGTTCTAGCCACGGTAGTCGTGAACATAGGATGCAATCCAACCGACAGAGAGACACGGTGGCCCTCAAGCGACGCAGGTGGCGGTCTCGTTGCCTCTGCCGACGGCACCGCGGTCCCTCCAAGTACCGGCGGTGGGACTGCACCGGCCGACAGTCCTCCCSCCACAGGTGCCAGAACCGGTGCACCAACTGCACCGCGAGACGGCCCTGCCTCACTAGCAAGCGACCGACGAGGCTCCGAGTCCTCTGGGAATAAAAGTGTCGGCCACTGGAATGCCGGAGCGCTAGGAGGGAGCCTCTTCAACTCCTCAATCGAGACAACAAAGTCCTTCGGACACTTGTCCATGTTCTTCGCCCATATGGTATAATACACAGCAGGGGTCCCCGCCGGGCATCTGAACTCCTTGCTTTTGAAGAAATGTTCCTTCGCTTCTCTACTGCCCCCACAAATGGATTTCCCGCACAATCTGCAGACACATCGTCGACCACTCTTCCTCCCCACCGCCGTCTCAGGGTACAAGTATCGGCCACGTGCAACAAAATGCCACACAGGGTCATCACGTTTGGCATCCACACCAGATTCAATCTTGAATGGAGAGTCGAAAGTCTTCGAGTTGTGTCCCTTTCTTGTACCACTCTCACTTGTTGTCGCGGCCTGGTCGGGGGCCACCTGCTCCTTGCCAGTGTTCCGCGTCATGATGTCACAACTGCAGCGTGTGACAACAAAGAGTCGCGAAGCGCACTTTCGTCACGATAGACAGCAGTGGCTTCGAATAAATGAATCGATGATGAAGCACAACCCATACAAAACCAAGCCGTTGGCCCCTGGTTACAGTGTTACACCACCCATACACCACCCCTGCCCCCATTCACCAACCCATCCCCATGGGGCCGTACGGCCACACGACAATACGAGCATGTCTAGTCATTAGTTGAAAAAARAAAAAAAAAATAGAAAAAAAAAATAAAAAACCATTTACATTCTTGACCGCAAAAACAAAAAAAAAAAAGAACACTACAAACTTGGTAAGTTAGTACAAAGTACTTCCTCCCGCTTTCGCACCCCTTGCGGCCCTTAAGGACCTGCGGGCCGCGGCGCTGCCGGCACCCACCCCCATATACCAACCCATCCCCGYAGGGCCGTAGGGTCATATCATGGCCCATATGAGCATGTCCTCTCATTACTCGAGCAAAAAAAGACAGAAAAACAGACCATTTACATTATTTTC